GCAGCTGCCTGAGGGCTCAGGGCCGGGGGGCCGAGTGCCGCGGCAGGGAGGGAAGGGGCTCCTGCAGCCGGCAGACCATGCAGAGGGCACTGATTTTATGAGGAGCTTTGCGTGGCTTCTCTCCCCCAGTGTGAGTGAGGCTCAGCCTTCCCAGGGACGGGCTTCGGGAGAAGGAAGTGCCTAGAATTTGATCCAGAGTAAGCAAGGTGGTATGCAGTTATTTGTCAGGACTCTTTCAGCCCGACCAGTTTGCTGGCACGCATTAGAGCCTATTAGACTGTGGCAGGTTCTGGTAAGATCAGCAGCTCCTACTCAGAGTAAAGAAAGTTGTCTCAGGTTGGGCAGTGAGCAAGCCTGCTGAACACAGAATATACCTGGCATTTTGAATGTTGAGGCTACAGAGGATAAATATTTGACAGTTGTTACAGTTTATGGATCATAAATCGCTGTAGCAGTGTGAGGTCTAGGTTGAGTTTACACTTTCATGTCATAAATCTGTCTTGGTTAAAGCAAGAAGAAATATTTATTCCTCAGTATCAACCAGTCTCTAGTTTATTTTGTTTCAACATTTACAATTTTTTTTCTTTCTTTCCCCAAAATGTTTTTTCATTGCCTAGAATGACAAAATTGGATATCAGGAATTACCTTGAAAGAATATACAATGTGCCAGTAGCTGCTGTGAGAACCAGGATACAGTATGGTAAGTGCAGTTGAGTAATGCAAACGGATGAATACAGCATCCCTGTGCAGCCAGAGCAGACTTTTACCTTTCAAAAGATCTGTTAGATTTCAGCAGACTTTGGTTGCAGTGGTTCCAGGTGCTTAGCTGCTGATGTCTTGTAGCATACATATTTATTCATCCCTTCAAATAAACATGCATCACTTCATATTTGAATGCTGTGATTAAATGATGATGTAAGTTTCACTCTAAAAAGAAAAATCTGACTTTAAAAAGGCTGATCATCCTGGCAGTTATGTAGCTTGTACTTTTGTAGTTACTACTGTTTCTCCTTGAAGACCAGTGGGTGTCTCCCTTCAGAAGGAACTGCTTCATGTGTTTTAATGCAAGTAGTAATTAAATTCAGCTGTAGCCTTCATTTTAAAAATGAGCTGAGATTCGCTTGCATGCACACACAGAAGGTACTATGGTCTAACAAAAGGCAAAGTTTGTAGAGTAAAGAAAATGCTCTGTTGAACCAGTAGATAATGCCAGAAAAACATCTTGACAAACTTAAATGTTTTTATCACCTGTTGTTACCAAATTTCTGCTACAGACTGGAATGTTGCCACTTGTGGTATTTCTCTCCTGTCCAACACCTAGAAACAGCAACAACAACAAAAAACACTCAAATGTCCACCAAAAGCCCAACAAAAAAAAAAAAAACAAAAAAAAAACCAACAACCCAAGAAAAAAAGAAAAAACATTCCTAGTTTGACCTATGCTGAATTCTGACTTGGAGGCAGAGGGACTCATCTCCAATTGAAATAAGATCAATTTTGATAATGTCACCTTTACATATGAATGCTTCCTTCCCCAGAGCTTCTCTGACTGCAGTTTGGATGCAGTCAAAAATATTTTTCTTTTTTTTTTTTCATGTTTATTTACATTTTTGATTACCAGGCAGTGTAATTATTGGGTGGAGAGTGACTTATTGGTTAGGACATCTTTGAGGGCTGGGTTTTTCATTTTTCTTGTAGTGACTCTATGAAAGGAATTGTCTGTTTATGATGGTAAGATAAAGGATGATTTTAAAAGGAATAGGAAAAAAGACCTTTAGTAGTGAAAAATGAAGGATAAAAGAAAAAGCTTCAAAATAAGGTTGTAAAACTCTTAACTTACAAAGGAAAGAAAAACCCTGGAAGTATAATCTGTAATATGCTTGTGTGAAAACCAGAATTGAATTAAGTCATAAATACCAAACACATGTAGTTCCAAACAGCACTGAAAAATAGCCATGCTTGTCCTTATAACCATTTTGCCCCCCTCTGCTAATTTTAGGTGGTGGTATATAGTCAGGGATTAAAGAGGGTTAGAACTCCTAATAATCTGAGCTCTAATGTCTGTCTAACATGAAGGGGTGAGTTGTACTTCCCACTTCAGTTGAGGTGCTTTAGTTTGTTTGGATGTGGAATATAATATCCTGGTGTATAAACAATAGATCCAGCTTATCAGCTGAATACAAAAAATTGTCAAGTTTAGGGCTACTTAGTGGTAATTTTCTCCTTGTCTTCCTGAAGCTGTGGGTGTTGGGAGAGCAGTTTGTCACCCCTGGCCCCTCCTGGGGAGACTTATCTCCTTGCTTCTTTGCAGACTTTGTGTGTGAAGGCACAGTGGCAGCAGGCTGGTGTTGCCTTCTTCCCTGCCTGTAAATGAGGAGAGCAGTGTCCACCAGTTCCAGTACCCTTTAATAATTGGTAGTGAAGGAAGAGTATTCCTCCTAACAATAAATCAGAGATAGCCAACTCCCTCCTTCAGCTTGGCCTTGCTTTGGAGAGTTCAGAAGTCCTGGGAAGTAAAAGGTGGGATTCTCTTCATTCCTGCAGGTGCAAACAACAAGAGGAATCACAGGAATCAGAGAGTGAAGAAGCCAGATTACAAGGTCGCCTATGTACAGCTGGTGAGTTGAGTTAACTTGGACACTTGTGAGGAAAGAGGAGGGCACTCTTAACCAGCCAGCTGAAAGTAATGGCCAGGGAGTTGTCCTGGTTGGCTGAATATTTCTGCCAATCCTCTAACAGTGAAAGTTTCTTTTAACACATTCCAGAATGTAAAAAGATTTAAATTACTTGCTCTAAAGATCAAATTCAAACAAAATAAGTCCCGTGTTGGTTTGAGGTCTGTCTGTAGGTTGTGGACTGATGTCATAGGGTGCTGCTTTGCCAGAGAGTTTCATGCTGACCCTGTACTCTGTGTGCTGGAAGGTTCACAACTTGTGTAGTTGATTGCTGAAATGTCCAGTAAGTGAAAGAATATATTGTGAGGGTAGGGAACTTCTTATTAAAGGTCTTTGAATTTCAGAGAAAGACTAAGGCTTATTCCTTGGAGAGCCTTTAGTCATGTCTAAACAAGCTTGCTTTGTGGCTGAACCGAACTCTGAAACATACATTGGTTGCCCAGTGGAAAAGGAGCTTCATGTTCTTGTAAATTTCTTTCATAACAGGACCAATTTATAGTTTAAACTTCTGTCAGGCTTACCCGTCTTTATGCAAAAAAGCAGTGCAACCAGTGACAGAAAACCTCTTCACATACCAAAATGACATCATTAAAGGGATGGTATTTATGGTTGTAAAACCATAAGCTCCAAATTGCAGTTAGCAACATAACGTCACTGTTAAATTAACTCTGTCTTGGAACAAGGATTCAGTGTTGGAGGAGCACTCTCTGACCCTAAAGACTGGCTAAGATTTCATATAGACTTGGGGTCAAACTCAAGAGGCACAAACAATGGGAAATCTGATTTTTAATATTTCAACGTTTAAATATACTTAGAAGTTTTTTTCTAAGCCCCTTCTGGGAAGGGGAATAGAAAGAAAAGTGAGGATGAGTGTTCTTTTAGACTGCCCTTACTTAATTTAGGAGAATAGTGTAAAGTGCAGTGTTACTAAAAAGTAACAGTTATATTTAGATGAGGAGTTACTTTGCTTTACTTTGCTGAAGTTAAAGGCAACCTCATCTCTGAGGATTTTACATCACTGTGGCTAAAACACACATTCCTTTTTTCAAGGAATAGTTTGCTTTGGTGAGCAGATTCTCCCTCCTGGATTGTGCTAGGTTTTTGTTTGCTGGAGAGCAGAACTGCATGATAAGGAAGTGAATGCTTGAACTGATGATGTTGTATCTCACAAATTGCTTTCCCTGAGTGTTGTTCCTTTTAGAAGGTAGTTGCAGGCACTTTCCATTGCCACAGCCTCCTGCTAGTGACTTCCTTGCTTTTAGAAACTTGTTTCCCAACCCTGAGGCAGACAGGGGTTTCTAGTGAACTGTAGTTCTAATTCTGTTTCACTGTCATGCAGTCTTGTGTCCTGTGTCTGCTGAGGTGAGAAGGAGGTAGTGTGCAACCCATAGATACTCAGGGGGAGGGAGTGGGAAGCAGAATGCTGCTGCTCTCTTGCACTAAGAGGTTTAAGGCAGTGCCTTTGTGTGTTTATTTCACATTCAGCCTCTCAACCTAGAATAATTGCCATAACCTTAAGTGTTGGTCAGCCCAGGTGTGGAGATTTACCTAAACTAGCTTGAATTGGAGGCAGGTGCACAGGAGTAGTTTGGTTGTTCTCCAGCCTCCCATTTTGTCTTCTGAGCAATGCACAGAGCCCTGTTGCACTGTGGCTGGGCTCTCATAGTACATGGGACAGCAAGAGTCCCTTATTGCCTTACGCTGTAGTTACCATAATAAATTCTTAAGGAATGCCATGTTTTCCATCTCTTCCATGAACAGGGGCAGGGGACACTTTTTGTGGTGTTTTTCATGTCAAGGGAGGGAATCCTGACTGTTCACTAAACTCTTGCCTGTGAAGCTTGATGTCTGTGTTTTTTCCTCACCTCATTCCTGGTCTCTTTGGTCTGTTTTATTTCCTATTGTTGTTGTGGTCTGTTAATTTTATTAACATTTAGGTTTCTTTATTCCTCCCCCTTTCTCTTTTTACTTCTGTTTGTTGCTTTTCATCACTAGCTCTGATGTCTCAGACAATGAGCTCCCAGCTCTGTGTTCACACCAGCTTGAAACAGTGGGTGAAGCCAGAAACCCAGTGTCATTTCTGAATCTAAAGGGTTTGCCTTCGTTCTCATTCATGGTGTGATCAGGCCATTACAGGCCCCATGCAGTCCATTGTTACTATCTGCCTAATTTAGGAAAGTCTTTGGTAACCACTGTAAAATCCTTATTTTCATGAGAATTAGTTTGCATCTGCCATGACTCAGAGTAGCTGGGCTTTCCCACCATTTTTACCAGCTGTGTTTTCTCTCATTGATCCAGTTTCAAGTTAAAACTGCTTATGACTGGAAAAATACAAATGTGTTTTTGGAAGCTCTTGGGTTGATCTTTCTGTTGCCCACTAGGTGGAAGTATTGCTCTTTCCAGTGTGGCTTTGCAGCTGTGGTGCAGTTTACCTGAATGAAATTGAGTTCATTCTCATGAGCAGTTATGTTTCTCTGCTTCACAAACCATCACCTTATGTGTCCCAGTGCAACACACACATCCTTTGACTTACTGCGAGTGTCTCAAAGGTGGAAGGTGTATGAAGTCATAGTCAACATGCCCTTAGGTGTCAGACTAGTGCCCCAGCTGTTCCACATGCAAGCATTGTTGTCCTTTCTTTTCCAAATATTGTTTCTTGGAGATTCAGAGCTGTTTACTTTTTTCTCAGGCGGTAACTGGACAAATAAGTGATCTGTCCAAGCATAATATTTTCACACTAAAAAAATACCTCAAATCATAGAAGGCTGTGGATCAACAATATCTTGCCATTCCAGAGCCTGCTTGCCTTTTTTCCCCTTTTGGAATGTGGTGAGAAAGGTTTAAGTTAGAGATTTATGGCCCTGTGTTATCAAATGCTACTTTTCTACACTGTTCTATTCTTTAAATTAAACCCAAGTTTTATATCTTTGCAAACTAGATAAAATATGTGTAATACAGCAGCCTTTCTACTTACTCCAATATAGCTATAATTATTATAATGAAAATTAAAAAAAAAAATAGAAGAAAAGAAAGCCAGTGGGAAACTTTGCAGTTGCCTTAACATCAGGGAAATTAAAAAAAAACAACAACATCCCCTCCTTCTCCTCCTTCAGTGTTCTCACTGGTTTAGCTTAACAGGTGTTAGTACCCGTGGGAGCACAACTGTAGACAAGCCTCTGGAATCCAGACCTATTTTTAATTAAACCTGTTTTGAGAAATGGAGTGGAGATGGCTGTAAAAAGGAGGCTGACCTTGTCAGCGTTAGGACTAACACCTATTTAGCTGCTTGAATGATGGCACCGGTGGGAACGTTTTTGCAAATACTTTCTCCTCAACCTCCATTTAGAGTATCCTCTACACTCACAGTAGTTAGCCTATTTGCACATCAGATGTGACAGCAGTTTTCTTTTGAATTCAGAGGAAACTGGGATGATCATATGCAGTGTTGTTCCTGAACGGATTTTGGAAGTTGCTTTCTGTGCTGTTTTGCCATACGTTTTAGCATCTGTGTTACCACTGCAGTAGTAGGAGAATTGTTCAAATGCCCTGGATTATTAAACTTAACTGCATTTGCTGCTACTGCTGGACTGCATCCCGTGCTTTTGGGAGTCCAACATTTTTGTAGTTAATGATACAATAAACATCACTTTTCTGTTAATTCTGAAGGACAGTAGTAAGTGCTTCAATTACCCAAATAACCAGAAGATCTCACAGTTGTTTACATGATCAGTGTTTGCTGCATCATTGCTGCACAGTAATATCTGTGCTGATCTTCCATTTCTAAACTTTTCAGGGGACTCAAAGGTCAGAGAAGTATAAGTCAATTTATGCTGGGTAATCCTTCCAGCAGTTTTCTGACGTGAGGCTCGGCAGTGGAAAGGCCAGCACTTGACTTCATAGGCTTAATTATGGTCACTTAACCTCTCATTAAAATGAACGGAGGCAATATGTACCACTGCTGTGATAACTCCTTAGACAGACTCCAAGAACAAGGTGTGTTTTCACCCTTTCTTAGGACAAAGGCTTGAAATCTAAAGGGAAAATACATGTTTGATGCTTAGGTCACTTTTTTTGTGAAGGATGTTACTAGCATTTAGCAAAGGAATCCTCATTAGGCCTTGTATATAATTCACTTTTATTTTTGGGTAATGCTGAATTGAGGATTAGAGGAGTAGCAGTTTAATGGGTCCCGTTTCTTTTATCTGAACACTCTCACTTGTGAGACCACCCATTTCACTTGTGCATAGCCTCAGAATCTGTAGGAAAAAGGAAGGTCTCTGGGAAAACCCCAAACTGAGAACAACAATGTATAAAATCATCATGTTGCCTTTACTTTTTTATGAGTTTGGTGTCACCTCTGACTTGCTTTGTTTGGGGCTTTTTGTTCCTTTTTTTAATAGTATCGTAAGGCTTCACTTGAGAGTGAGGTGAACACATGGTGGTAGAGCTTACCCTGAGAAATTCCAGAGTATCAGGGGATCACTTCACATTGGTGAAAAAGATCTTTTGCTGTCAGTGCACCACTCAGTTCCATGCAAAATTACTTTTTTTTCAGTGTCTGTCTTTTTCACGGGATTTTCTTTTAGCACAGCTGTGTTGAGTAGAAAGGTAGTGTTATCTTCTCCCCTTTTCTCTGTGCTTCTAGCTAAGGTAATTATGCTGGCAGAAGTTCTAAAGCAGAAGCAAGTTCTAGCCTTTTTAAAGGTTACTTCAGCTTATGATAATTTCAGTAATTCAGCAATTAAAGGGATAAATAGCTTGCAAAAAGTAAAACTATGGACAAATGCAAGATTTTCAAGTAAGGCAGAATCTTCCTTTCCGGTTGGAAATGCCAGCACTCCATGTTCTAGCAATTTGTAAACCAGATAAACCCTGATGAACTTGGTAACAATTGCCTGCTTTATTCCAGCGAGGATTTCATTGAGGGTGCATTTATCATATGGTTGTCAGATGGTTGCTGTATAGAAGGAAAAGCTTTTGCAAAGAAGTTGTTTAAGGAAAAGCAACACTGTGTAAAGGAGTGACAATCCCTCTGTCCCTTTGGTAGGCTTTTTTTTAAGGAGGTGGCATATGAGCTTGAACCTCAGTAGCCTCTGGCATTATGTGGAAGATGCATTGAGTGTAAATATGCCTGGACAGACTCACAATCCTTTATGTAAGTTGATGCCTTTTGGTATTCTTAAAATTTTGAAATTCCCAAGATACAAGCTTCTTCTGAAAACTAGCTACTGAGCATGCACAACAGCTATTTTTCATACAGCTTTCATCACTCCAGAGCCTTACAGTGCAGTATTACTGCAGAGTATTGTTACTTAAGATTTATCAACCTTCAGTTCTCAGGGTGTAATGTCTTGGCTGTTTCAAATCGTGTTTGGCTGCCAGCCAAAATCAGAATTTCTTCACAAAACAAGAGCTGGAAAGAGCCAACTAGTCTGTGCTAATTTTGATTTATTAAAAGACTCCAGATACAGATTGACATTTTCAGCTCAATATTTGACTTCCACCGGCCTTGAAATGGGAACTGTGAGCACTTTGATAAACAGCTTAAAGGTTTGTCTGGTTTTGCTACAGCCTCTGTGTGTGTCTTTTTTTCCTGGTTTTGCTACAGCCTCTGTGTGTATCTTTTTTATTTTCTTTCCTCTTTTTAAAATAATAACGGTTTTGCAATGCTTAGTGAATTACTGTGGATGTTGTTAGTATGCTTTAGGGACAGCTTTCCTTCATTCTCCAATAAGGGAAATGCATTGGTCCTGGAAGCATACCAGAAAGAAGGAGCTGCATAACAAGAACAGTCCCTTACTACACTGTTACCAGTATAAATAGTTCTCAGATTTTCAGTGGAGGTGGTGTGCCTACCATGTCAGCCTGAGTTGTTTTCTGACTTGTTTAACTAAAATGGCTTCCTCTCCAGGACAGACAGGTCTGTAGTGTGGGCCCTGTCTGTTCTGTAGGTCCTGCAGGGCTGAGTGACCTGCCCACAGCACAGTTAAAACACAGCAATTTTTTGTAATACTAGCAAATTCCTTTCCAAATGTTTCAGTGTGCTAAAATCCTGGGCAGTGCTTGGCCTCAATGGTGCTTGTTGCTGATCCTAGTACAGGAAGAGGTTCAGTAGGTTGCATTTTTGGGCTTGCCCAAGGACCCTGGTAAGGCCAATTTCTGTGCCATGAAATGGGACTGTGCTTTATCTGTCAAAGGACAGCTTTTATGAGGATACCTGTTGGTAATTTAAAGGTACAAAAGAACTGAAACCCCAAGAGTGTACACCAGTGGAAAGGACAACCTTGATATGTTCCAGTTGAGCTTATCCAGGCTAAAATCAAGGAAAAAGCAATGTACACAGCAGCTCCCGTGTTGTTTTTGTAGTATGGTCAGGCTCTTAGGAAACCCTCAAGAAGTATGCAGTACAAAAACAACTGGAGCATTGCTGGGTAGAGCATTGCTGGTAGATTCCAGTCTGGGTAATCTCATCTGGGATAACACATGCTTTTTTCTCTCCAAAGCATATGAGGTTTAGATTTTTTCACACCTGTTATTTGCCAGGTTGAGTGTATATGATTAAATAAAACATAGCAGATATTCAGATGGGTCAGGGACGTGGTGATGGTTCTGTTGGATTTATTTATGTCATATTTCTGATCCCAGAATGAAGAGTAGGTATGTTGGGGAATGCTCCTTTCATGTCCTTTATGGAACCATTTCATAACTGAGCCTCTTGTTTGGATGTATTTACTGCATAAATTTAAAGACTGGCTCATCTGAAAAAAAGCCAAACCCACCTGTTTTCATCTGAAGCAGTTAAATGCTTTTCTTGAGATTTCTGTATGCAGAATGCTGCCAAAGAAGTTAATGTATTGTAATGTTTCTAAGTGTTTTGGAGAGTAATTTTAGGGCGATGGGTGGCCAGTTAAAAGTTTTATTATGCAAAGTTCCATACAGAATGGAAGGGCTGATATTGTTGAGTTTAATGAAGTTGTGCTTAGAGCAAACACCACTAAAAATAAGTAGGTAATGTTAATGGGATAGTACATTTCCACAGAAAAATGGTTTCCTGCTGTTAGATAAAAACCAGAGACCAAGCAAATGTTTATTTTCCAAGTGGGAGACAGATCTGATGATGATGTTTCACTAAGATGACTTGTCTGTTAGGCAGAATGACTGATGCAGATGTAATCACTTTAATCTCATTAGTGATATATTAGACAGATTGTTCCCACTGTAATTGTTTTACACCATAGTCTTTATGTCTGTTGATAAGAGACCTCTGCTATCTGTTATTCTGTATTCCCACATTACACCCTCCAATAACAGCTGCTAGGAGTGCTCTCTCTTATCCTTAGCTGAGATCTTAACAGCTACAACCACTACTCATATCCTGAGTGTTAACATAATGAATGCCTGCTCCACTGTGTATTTCCCTGGTGGTAGTACTTTAACAAAATCACTTGTTTTGCTCATCTTGCTTTTACTGTGTGACTCACACAACATCTCTGAGTTGATTCAAAGTCTTTGAAGAGATGTCCATCTCCTGATCATTCATCTGTTAAAAAAACCCAAGATGTTAGTATCTTAAGTAGCACACAGGAGGAGAGGCTTTTGAGGAGAAGGGACGTACATGTATCTTGGGGACGTGGGTGGAAAGAGATTTTGGGAGGTCACACGGTACAATTCTGCACTAGCTGAAAATTCAGGGTGGTGTTTCACCCTATGATCATAGCTACTGCAGAAAGGCTGGAATGTCTCTCTGACCATTTGTTTTCTCTTTAGGGCCAAGGACAAACCTTTCAGTTTCCCAACCTATTTCCAGAGAAAGAACAAGACACAGAAACTCGCTCTTTCGATGACTTCAGGGATAAATATATGGAGAAAGAGAAGCAGAAGGAGGAGGGTGACCCCAGACGAGGTGGAGTTCCTGATTGGTTTGGACTTTGATGTAACAAGCCAGCTGCCTTCCTTTAGGCTCAGAGGGATTTTGATTAGCACAACTTGCACTCTTCTCTTCCCTTCTTGTAATGACTGAATGTTTATTCTTGAGCAGCCCTTGCTAGCGTGTCTTTTTTTCTGGCTGTTTGTACATGACTACAACAAAATGCCCCTGAAGAAATAAAAAGGTAAAATAAATCTGACTGCACCAGGTCTTTTGTGTGAACTTGTGGACTATTTCTAGAATGTGGAATTCTTTGTTGTCATTTCTGACTATGAGAGTGTCATTGTGCCTACCTTTTTCGTGCTGCTGCAGGTTGTTTTGAGTAGAAATAGGTTATTTAATTTCCTAGGATACACGCAGTTTCTATTGACTAGAATGTCTAAAAGTCAACATAGGTTAGTCAGAAATGGACATGGAAGTGTAGAAAACTGGACTATAGGCTCAGGATGTAGGGTTCCCTTATTGTCACTTACTGGGTCCTACTATCTTATTGCCTTCCTTGCAGTGACCCCTCCTGTCCTAGAGAAATGCATGTGATCTTAATGTACTCTTGTAACACTTGTGTGGCATTTTGGGGACAGGGTTTATAGGGCACATTTGTGACTGTGCACATGTGTGTTTGATCCCCTTAAACATCAAGAAGCAGACAAAGTGGTGCACGTCTCTGCTTGCTGTTGTGCAGTGCAGTAGCTGTTCTCTGTGACCAACCTGCCTTAGGAATGTTTACTGGCATAGTTGTGCTGGTTTCCTTCCCCACTCCACAGCTACCTTGCAGTACTGGCAAGTGTCCTGTGTGGACACAGTTGTATTGGCATGGAAATGCTTCTGCCAGTGTAGCCTGTGTTGTGCTGAGGACTAATAAAAAGACTCCTTTTACTTTCTCTGGTGTAACTCCCTCTGCTTCCAAGTTACTGATGCCAGCATAGTGGTAGAACTTTTCTTGGCCTTCTGGGCTGCCACGTTCAGTGTTTTCATTTCTTGGCTCTGTGGCTGTTTCTCCTCGCTGTGATGAGGATATTTCCTCTTTTTCTTTGTCTTTGTCAAATGTGCTCTGCTGTTGTGTCAGAAATAGTGGGGGAAAAGGAGGGCTAGGAAGGAATTCACAGATGGAGAAGGGTATCTCTGCAGGCTGTTTGCTGCAACACAGCATGTGCAGGGTTAAATGTATAGCTAATGTTCCCCTGGCTTTTGAATTCTGCCACTTGGAGCAATTGGCAGGGCAGTGAGTGAGCCCATGCCTTCAACGCTTCCACCCGGGTGCTCTCCTTTATTGTTCTGTGTCTCAACTTCTTGTTTGGACAGCTAGCAAGATGTTTACAAGGAAGCAGCTGTTCTCCAGAGAGTCAATCCAAGTAGGATTTTACACACCTCCTTCTGTTCATTAGTCACCTCTTTATCCCTGCTACTTTCCTTGTGCATGACAGTCCACCTCCTTCTGTGGTTTGCTGCTTACACCCCCCTCTCTGCCCACTGTCCAAGGGGGATCGTGTATGATCTAAGTTAGCTGGTACTTAAACAGAGAGATGCTCTTAGAGAGGAGGGAGATAAGGGAGGATTTGCTACTCCCAGCCTGCCAGCAGAGTTACAATAGCAGATATGGAAAAATACTGACTTCACTGAAAACAGTTCATGTGTTTGGCCTATCTGCAAAGGCAACATTTCCAGAGTTTTGTAGTGACAGGTGAAACTCCAGGTTAAATCAGGAGCTGGCCTGCAGATTTAAAGTAGGGTGACTGAATTTGTCTGGGTGCAAGAGTGTCTCTGCTGTACACAGTCTCCTCCTCCCCCCTCCTTTGTTTAATACATTTTTTAAAGGAGCTGTTTCTCAAACTCACAGATCAGTATGGTGATGACCTACATTGCAACTTGGGCTATGTTCCTTCAATATAATATTATGGAATTTGCTATTTGTTCTTCACTGTCCTTTGTGGTTATTTCCAATGTGAGTAACTTGATCTTCTTCACCATAGTGAAGATAGAAAGGGCTCATCTGGTGCTGCCATACGTCTTCCTAAGTGGTTGGTCAGCTTTGAGCAAACAGGCAGTCAGGTATATTAGTTCTGGATCAATGAGGCTGCATTGGGTGTAACAGCAAAGATATATTTAACCATCATCCTCTGCCTTCCCTATTAATGGTCAGGAGGTGTTGGAGTTGTCAGCTTCTGTACTGGTGTTGAGGGCCAAAGGTGAGTGAAATTTATTTGCAGTCCCAAATTTGCTCTAGGCTCTGTGAGTATCTAAAGCCCCTGTGCCAGGTCTACCATGCTTTGCTACTCTGTGATTTCTCCATGGGCAATTAATTTCTAGCTCATGTTCAAGGCAGGTTTCTGTTTAGAGTAGCACGAAAGGGAAGAGATGCAAATACACCCATATCTGTACGAAGCTGCTGTAACCAAATTCTGGCAGATACTCAAGCTGCATAAGACAGCAATGATGTAATCCTATAGAAGGGTTTGACTTGGAAGATCACCAAGTTCCAAGCCACTGTTACTGGGCAGGTACTCATTCCTCAATGTTACCAGCTACTTCTAAAACAGTGTTCCTGTGAAACTAAGGTAAGATTAAAAAAAAGAAAAGAGCCAACATTATTTTGCTGTAATGCTCCCTATTGCTATGGAAGTGAGATTAAAAAGCTCTTGAGTCTTTCCCACTTGAGCAGTGTTTCTGAGGAAGTGGTAGTGGTAGATATGATCTGATGCTTCAGTGCTTCACAAATCCCATCCCCCAAGCTGTACCAGTGGGCTAAAAGATAACAGAGAGGATACTTTAATACAAAAATACAGATTGTATCAGGTGTACCAGAGAGAAGTACAGCAAACCAATGCTGAAACTAGGATAGGGTCTCTTGAGTTTTTTCTGAGTTTTGTTCAATGTGTTGTGTTCCTTCCAGCACATCCTGATGTTTGTTTTGTGTGATGTAAAGGGTGAGCAGCTCCTGAAGTCACATCTAGCCCTGCTGTCAAAGGTGTTGAGCTGCCCTTGGCTATGTCAGTGGCCATACCTGTGGGCCAAGGATGTACATATACGCATGAACAACTTCTCTGAGGGCCACAGTAATGACTTGGTTGAAGAGACTGATGTTCACTGTGGTGCAGGAGAAGCCAGGTCCTGCCCTTGGCGTGCACAGCTCTGCAGCTGCTGCTCTCTCTGACGTGCAAGGGAGATGCTGAACGCAGTTTCTTTCCTCTCTGAATGTGTGCAACCCCCCAAAGAGAGTAAAGTGCTGGAACAGCCAGTGGATGTGCAGTTGGCTGTGCTGGCTGGTCTGGTGGAGAAAGGCATCTGGCTATGCTGAGTGGGTGCTCTCCCAGCAGTACCAGGACACTTCAGAGGGAACATGCAATTGCTTCTGGTTTTTTTGAAACAAATTGCAGAGACAGTACAATCTAAGTGACTCCCTTAACATTACCCCTTAGAAATTAGTTTTGTATTGTAGGTGATGCTCGGGTAGGCACTAGGGATAGGTTCCTGCAATAACAAGGTTACTGAGTCTTGTTACCATTTGTTACCACCTGAGCCTTGCTGTGTGACTGCAAAAGGTTCAGCACAGCTGTAAGTGGTTAGACAGAAAGCTGTGGCAGCTTTATCTTCTGTTACCCAGACTGTAGAATCATAGAATGGTTTGGATTAGAAGGGACCTTTAAAAACCATCTAGTCCATCAATCTTGCAATGAGCAGGGATGTCTTCAACTAGATCAGGTTATTCAGAGTGCAGTCCAACATGTCCTTAAATGTTTCTAGGAATGGGGCATCCACCACAGGTTTTCCTCTGGGAAGCCTGTTCACCAGTGTTACACCATCCACATGGTAAAAATCTTCTTCCTTATATCTAATCTCCACTGACCCTCTTTTAGTTTCAAACCATTGTCCCTGGTCCTGTTGCAACAGACCCTGCTAAAAAATCTATCCCCATCTTTCTTATGGGCCTCCTTTCATTACTGAAAGACTGCAGTGAGGTTTCCACAGAGTCCACTCCAGGCTGAACAACCCCAACTCACTCAGCCTTTCCTCACGGGAGAGATGTTCCATCCCTCTAATCTCTTCATGTCCCAATTCAGGAGCAGGACCTTGCACCTGGCCTTGCTGAATCTCACAAGATTCCCACTTCTTGATCTTGTTCAGATCCCTCTGAATGGCATCCCATCCCTCAGGCATGTCAATGCATCACTCAGCTCCCAAATTAGCTGGCAGCCCAACTGCGAGCCCCAAATTATGCATTGGGTGACAAAAAAATGTATTCAATGATTTGATCTACTCTTGACCCATTGCCATTAGCAGTGCTGAGTGAATGAAGAAGTAGGAAAATTTGGCTTACTTTATTCAAGATGGATTTGCTGTGGAAAATACCTTCATGGCTGGGGAATTCCTGCTCCTTCCAGGTTATCCCAATGACATCAAAGCTGAGGTTTTTATTTCAGGAGAACTGTTTTACTTATTTGAATTTTAAGGCTGTAGGACAGGCTATTGCTTTATTGCTTCTTCAGCTCCACTGTGTTTGTGGAATGGTTTGCAGAGAGCGGTGAGGGCTGGAGAGAGCATGTCTGCTCAGTGTGTGCAGCAGGGCAGGGGACACAAAGCAAACACTATTTTTCCTGGGACGACTGAAAGCTTGTAAAACCATTATTTTGACAATGCTGCTTTCTGCTGAAGTAGAGTTCAAGGACTGCTCAGAGTCCAATTTAAAGCAGTTGTCTGAGAATGGCTTTCCAGGGTGGCTTATATGCCAAGGCTCATAGGTACCACGGCTTAAAAGGAGCATTGTGATAATCCCTTTTGACCTCCTGAATGACACACACCAGAAAATTTCATGCTGTACTTTCTGTGCATAGGCCAGAAGCTTGTGGTTGAATGTTACCTGGAATAGATTTCAAGGTTTGAACTTGACCAGCATTGCAGGACCAAGTAATTTTCCTTGAATAAGCTGGGCCCAAACAGCATGAAAGTCACCAACATGTTGTCATTTGTCCTGTGAATTACGCAGAGTGGTGGTAATAGGGAAAACTGAGCGTTGCTGCTCAGGAATCATGTGTTTGTAGAGAAAGGAAGTAATTTCTGTAAATATTATTTTCTTTAAATGCAAAAGGTTTTAGACTAGATAAGATGACATAGTGGTTGAGCCATTTCTTCTGAAGTGATTTATGACTGTTTAGACAGCATTTAGCTCTTTGTGTATAGTATGGCTTATCAAAGTGTGTGCTGCTGTTGCAGACACACCCAGCTTTCAGAATTTGGGAAATATATCACAGTCACTTATTCTGTGGCTTGAGAACATAGTAATTAGGGCCTGGTCCAAAACTCATTGTTTTTAATTAAAAAACAGGACTAATTATCAGTCTCTTAACCTTTCCTACCTTCCGCTATTAGAAAATGCTGCAAATGAAAAGTGATTAAGATTTTTGGAGAATTTGTGCTGTGGAGAATTAGGCAGTGCATTTTCTTCTGTGGTGACTGGGATGTTGGAGAGGTCACACACAGTTTTAGACAGGTAGGTCTTGCTTGGGGTCTGGCCCTTAGTGCTATCTGTGCTTCATTTTCCAGTTCTTGTTTTAGGAGTCAGACCAATGTCAGTGATTCAAGGCTTGGAAAACTTCCATTCCAGAAAAAAAAAAAAAAAAAAAGGCTAGGGAAACTCCCTGTGTTGATTTGTGATTTAGAAGTATTTTGACTCTTGCCTGTCTGTATGCACCTGGAAAAAAAAATTTCTCAGCGGCAGAACATAGTTTAGTGTAGCTAAAAAAGTGAAATGAGCAGCCTAGAAAGGGAATGTCTGTGATGTGGGCAGGTGTTATCCTCCTGTATGAAGGGAGAAGGCAGGGAGTTGTTCTGGATCATGTCTGTGTGGTGCATTTCTCGTGAGCCTGCACTGAAAACACAGAGCTGG